TTAAATATCTGTCCACTTAAAGCTTTGCCTACACCTGTCCCCAAGGGACATTTCCAACAGACCCATTTAAACATAGTGGATGGTTTAGCTCCTGGATCCTTCAAGACAGACCTGTTATATTTTCCAACCCTCTTAAGGCAGACAGAGGAAGTGTAATCGGAACTGGTAACAGTGTGTTGCTATACCTTAATCTGTCATATGTTTCCTTTCCCTGCTCAGCATCATTCCCAGCTTCATGTGCTGGTGAGACCTGGTTCCAGAACTAAGACTAGATGAGAGAGAATCTATTTTTTTTCACTTCCCTGCAAAAAGGAGAGAATCTATTTTTTTCCACCCTGTCTATCAGATTAATTCTAATATTTTCTAGATCACCACCTACAAATGATTCCTTAAATTCTTAACAACACAAAAGAAAAACTCAACCAACCAAGCAAACAAACAAAACCAGAGACCAAAAAAAAAATCCCATTCTTTGTGTTCAGTGAGGGCTAGGTAGCCTGTCTGATTCTTTGTGTTAAGTGAGGGCTAGGTAGTCTGTCTGATTCTTTGACCTGTGGGGCTCACGTTTGATGTCTCCACCCCCTCCACTCCCACCCATTTTATAGCTTGCTGTCATAGTAACCCATGTCCTTCTAGACTCCCCATGCCTCCTCCTTACTATCAGGATTCTTGAAGCCACTCTCCAATCTTTCTGATCAAATCCGCGTTTGAGGAAAGATCTGGAATAGTTTGTAGCAGAAGTGAGTGGCTGGCAGAGAGCCGGAAGCGTGTGCACGCAGGCAGATCCACAGAGCATTACCCCTTAGCAGTTTCAGCTTTGCCGGCTCCTTTTCACTAGACGCCTAACTGACGGAGCAGAAGGTGTTCCAGAGAATAGAGAATGCATTGCCCTGCCAGGTTGGCATTCAAAAGTGCTCCTCCATGATGTTCTGACAGCCAAAATGGGCTCTAATGCTCTCAGGCAGAGGACCTCGGAGACTGGGCCCCATTATCCTTAAGTGCTACATGACAAGGGCAAGGACTTTCGAGTTGTCTGCAGCAGGCTTTTAAAAATCAGAACTTCACAGAGAAAAATTGCACGGGATGGAAGGGGGAGGCTTAGGGTCAGACCCGGGTCATGAGCTTCTGTATTAACTCTGTAACTGGGTGTCTGTCTTGGCAGAGGGCATCTGAGTGATGGTGGGCTTCCGGCCACCCCCGGGTTTATAACAAATGCAGAAACCATCAAGCCAGTTCTTGCATGAAGCCCACCTTCATTTTTAGTTATTTTCTGCGCTTCCCATTACTTAAAGAACCCTTCCTATTTAAATCATGAGTCCATCATTCATTCTTACTGTAGGCAGAACATCAACTCCAGACTGGATAGCTCTGGAAACTCTTCCTGTAGCAATTCAATTGGAAGAAAATACTAAAATAAGCAATAAAAATATGAACCTAGATTAAATAATGGCTGGTATTTTGTTGGTGTATTTATGCCAGTGTCTTTTTTTTTAAAATCTAGTGTGAAAAGAAGGGCAAAAAGCATCATAGATGATGTTCTAGAGGGCAGCCCATCTCAAGAGTTGAATTCAGAAGCACGGCACCAAACAAAAGTGAGGCTAAAACACTGGTTAGAATCATGCCTTTGGTCTACTATTGGTGTTCTATATGGGGTAGATAGATACCTGCTCACGTCTCCCCAGGGAAAGGTAGCATAACAAAGATAAAAAGCGCAAAAGCAAGTTATGTATTAGAAAGTGCTAAGATTATTTGAAAAATCTAACAAGGTAAGAAGGGCAAGGAATATCAGAAGACCTGCCGTCTGAGGAGAGACCAGCACAAAGGCCTAAGGTGGATGGATACGCGAGTGGCAAGTTCCAGGAACAAGGCGACCAGTGTAGTTCGAACAACATTCATAAGGACTCAGGTAGACAGTGGTGCACCAGATCATGCGGGGTTTTTTCTCACAAAACTAAGGAGCCTGTGAAAAGCTGATATGAATTACAAGGTAGACATGGCTGGCTATCGTGAGGAGGGTAAAGTACAGAGTTTAGAGGGCAGATGGAAACCGAGTCAGAGCAGGCCACGGTTCTGAACTCGCCTGGATAGACAAAACAAGGTTCACTTTTTCAATACAATGCACATTCTTGGCAGCATCTGTCATATAATGTTGAGCGAAAAAGTCATAGGTGAATACACAGTATTAGTCAGTTTGAAGTGCAGAGAGATAAAAATACAAAACATAGTTGGTAGATTTCAAATGCATGTAACGATGCCATGCAGGACAGCAAAGCAATGCCAAATTCAAATGCTGGATACTGGTTACCTACGGGAGTTGTGAGTCAGGAGATGGGATCAGGGAAAATCAATACAAAGACTCAAAAGTAATGATCTTTTCTAAATCTGGGGTAGGCATATGGGTGTTATCCTACTCCCTTACAGGAAGTCTGTGGACCTAGGGGGAAAGTTAACAGTTTAATTTGTTGTTTTTCTTTTGCTTTATGTCCAGAATCTGACCTTCTCCATGGTGCACAGCTAAGAGCAGAACGGCAACAACCCACCCAATTTAGTGCTACGGTCTAGGTCAGGGAAGGCTTATCTCTCCCGCAGCCAATTAAACACGGTGACTTCCTAACAACTGGTAATTACAATTTTCTGCATAACTAAACTCCTTGGGTTGTTCATTTATTATTAGTGATAATCATAGACTCCCGAGAGCTTTTCTTCATAAAATTGTATGCACAGAAATCTTTTCTTTGGCATTCCGTCTTTCTCAGCTTAAGGAAGAGAGATGCAGCAAGAGACTGAACTTATATACAGCAATCTCTGCTCCAAGTACAGGGTGGCAGGGTGCAGATACCAGATACTGATGTCCAAGCACCGTGCGGCAGTGCGGATCCTGACGTCCAAGCTCGTGCAGACAACCGAACACAGTGGGGCAGTGTGGATACTGACGTCCAAGCACAGGGCAGCAGTGCGGATACTGATGTCCGAGAACAGTGCGGCAGTGCGGATACTGACATCCTTATGCCATTTTCACCCCAGCAGGCACACAGCCCGATAGTTGACCGGTTTTACTCTTTGACTCTTTGTTCTTTGGGGCCTACCACCTAGTTCCCAAATAAATCACACACAGAGGCTTGTTCTTATAAATGCCTGGTCTTAGTTTAGCTTGATTTTAGCCTACTTTTTTTTTCACTTAAATAATCCCATCTACCCTTTGCCTCTGGGTTTCCCCTTTTTTTCTGTAATCTCACTTTCACTCTTACTCTGTGGCTGGCTGTATGGCTGGGTGGCTGCCCCTTCTTTTCTTGCTCCTTCTCTTTTTCTCCTTCTATGTTTTCTTTCTGCCCGCCAGCCCAGCCTATCCTCTCTCCTAGCTAGATATTGGCCGTCCGGCTCTTAGATCTATTGGGTGTTTCAGACAGACGCAGTAACAAAGTTTTACCATGTTGAACAAACCAAACATAAAAGAATGCAACGCATCTTTGCATCATCAAAGCAAATGTCCCACAGCATCAACACATGTAACATATCTTAAAATAATATTCTACAACACAGCCCAGGTACTGGGATACTCTTCCTCACAAGGAAACTGAAGACACTTAGGACTCTGTGCTTTCCCGAGCTCAAACACAGTGTCTCAGGTTGGCAGAGAAGCCAGACAGGGAATTTATCAAAGGGTTTCCAAGGTGGGATCATCAAAGCCAGGAGGAAGAAGAAATGTATGGGGGCTGGAGCCTGGGAGAGAGTTGGTCCAAGAGCTATGGGGGGGGGATTTAAGAGATTTAATATCTTTCTGCAGAGGTGTGCAAATACGATCTTAATGACAGTTACTAATCAGATTAAGATTCTTGCTTCCATGACATCTCTTTCCCCGTAATAACTATGGACATGACAGGCTGTGGGGTCTGAGAGACGGCAGCTCGCATCCTGCTACCACACATCTTCTCAGCATAGACCAGCCCTCCATGTCTGTGAAATGAGTATAATACGCCCCTAGTTTTCAACAAATCAGGGGTTACATGTCCCTCTGTTACTAGGAATCTGCCCTCTATTCAGCGGCCGGTGTGATCATTCTAAAATACAGCTCATGGTGGTTCACGTGCACTTCAGCACTCCAGGGGTGGAGGCAGGAGAATGGCTAACTACCAAGACCCTGTTCCAGAAATGTAACACATCAATTAGGCTAAAATTTCAAAATACGGCTCCCGTCTCTCATGAACTTACAGTTCAACTACCCATTCCCATTGTACAGGCAATGTACAAAATAGCTCTGCAAGGCTTGTGGTGATGTGTCCTTCCTTTCCTCTCTGGTGTCCTCTGCTGTGGCACTCGGCCACATTAAACTAATCCTAGTTCCCTTCACTCCCCATGCTCCCTCATGCTTCCCCGCAACACCTATCACCTCACTTTCTTCAGATACTCCAGGTACTCTCTCAGAGTTAAACCTACAGTCTGCAATAGAATGCTTTTAATATAATTCCTCTCCAGATGCATACATCTATATGTTTATCTGCATCCACCAATTTGGAGGCACTTCAGAAACTTATGTGAATTTATCCACATGATGTTTCTATACCACCTTAGAATATAAACTTTTAAATTGTTTTTATACACCCTATATGTCAGTATAATGTGTGTATATAATTTGCATTAAACAATAACAGCAATCCATTTTCTGTTTATTGGGAGCAATTTTTAAACTATCATAGTGGTTCTAGCATCTGTTGGCCAGCAAGCATGTCATATATGCATTTTTACTAATATTTCAGAATTTAATATAAAGTCTGCCCACTTATGAAAGAGTGTCAGACTGAGGATGGTCACCTCGCCACAGGTCTGGGCAGACCCAAATAGCAGTCAGTCTACAGTGGGCAACACTGGGAACCAGAACACAGAGCCTGCAGAAGTGCCCGTTATCTTGGTTACTGTGTCTCTGCATGACATCCCTTCCCCACCTCAACCAGAAAAAGCGTCAGCATTGTGACAACAGGCCTCCAGCAGAGGACTCCTCTTACCTCAGCATCAAAGCGCGGGTCTTGGTAGGCATCGCTGACGTTCACAGGAAGGCCTGTCGAAGCAACCAGCTCAGCGATGCTGTTATTTATCAGCCAGTCGGAGTAAGATGACTTCTCCATGCTTTCTTTGAAACTGTCGGAACACCAAGTCAGTAAAAGGAAAGAAGAGAAACTAAGTTTGCTGGAGAGTAAACTCCACCAGACGACATTAATAGCAACATTTCCTGTCCTCATTACTGAGGAATAAATGGTATGAGTCAGAACGACAGGGAGAGAATCATCAGGAGCCCCCTTTAAACTATTTCCCCACTAGAATGGAAGGTGATCAGACTGTGGAGAGAAACACAGATCCTCTACAGGCCAGAGAGTAGCTCTAGGCTGTGTTCAAGCCTCAAGGCTGACAAGTCTAATGCACACAACCAGATAAGACCAAGACTGATAATAGGGCACCAACACACGGCTTCATACACTTCCACTGGGCTCCTCAGCTGAACATCCTAGCTGAACATCCCAGATGTTTTGCTACCAAGAATGAGGGAAACTGGGAAATAAATGTTGCACGTTTTCGGTGTGAGGACAGAGCGCAAGGCCTTATGCAGGCTAGGCTGGTGATTGTGTTTCCAGCGCTAGCACAGCCCCATCTGTGTGTCTCGGCTAAGCTGCACTTCATGTAAGAAAATATTAAGACTGTAGACAGCCATTGCTATTACATTGCTAGTACACATTGTGCACAGTTGTTATTATTATACTGCATGTACCCATTTGGAGTTGGTGGCGAGCTGGGAAGGGCAGGCGTTGTCATGGAGACCACTAGACGCATGAATGAGCAGGAGGGGTGGATTATCTACCATCATCGCTCCATCACGTCTGTCGGGACAGACGCTCTGTGACTGGCAAACTCAGGATCTATTTACGACGTTATTCATCTCTTGATGCACAAAAAGGCTGAATAGCACACAAGCTGCTTCCCTGTGGCTCTCTAGATGCAAATGGAAATTTTAATAAGAGGCTTAGGTTTATAGCTATTGAGTAGTACGTAAATAAAAGAACTTGAAAGAAAAGATGTGTTTCTAATTCGAAGAACAAAGTCCGTGTTCTGTTTTCTTTTTGATACTTTACATCTATGGCAAATGGGGCTTTCTGTTGTATTTAATGAAAGTGACATAGAGGAAGAAACATGGTAAAATGTACCCAATATATGGATCTAGGCTAACAAAATAATTTCTAAATTTATACGAATGGACTGGATTCTTGATGCTCTTTCAAAGAGGCACTGACTTGCCAAAACATTCTATGTTGTCTATATACTATATTTCACAATACATTTATTTTGTGTATATATGTGCGTGTGTGTGTGTGTGTGTGTGCCAGGGGCTGATGTCAGCAGTCTTAATTGATCACTCTCCATTTCATTTTTTCTGAGAATCTCTCACTGATACAGTTAGGCTGGCTGGCCAGTGATCTTGAGAGATCCACCTAACTCTGTCCCCAGTTCTTCAGTTGCGGATGGGCCCTGCCAGGCCCCGTTTTAGCATGTGAGCGGGGAATATGAACTCAGTGCTCATGTTTGCCTTGGCAGGCATTTTACCAACCAAACCGTCCCTCCAGTTCCATACGGCATAATTTCAGAAGTGTTTGAGTTCTGGTCTATTGCTTGCAGTAGACTGTGGGGGTAAAGGGCTGAAGTAGGACCTTAGAAAGGCCTGGGTGGAGCAGTCAGGGAGGAACCTGGGACAAGGAACGAACATTATCCACTTCACTCAGTGTCTTTCAAGATGGGCGCAAGTCCACAGGAGAGATTGGAGGTGGGAGGAGGAAACACCAGGAATTCAAGAAAAACACAGAAAAATGGGTGACCAGAGGCTGAGGAATAAGACTAGAAAGAAGGCCAGGGTCCAAGAACTGAGACTTGGATAGAGCTGCTGGGACCTGAGCTGTAGGTGACAGAGAGCTGTTTAAGAGTATGGGAAAGAAAAGGCCGCTGGAGCAGGGATTCCAGGAACCTTGATTTAGAGGTGGTGAATAAGAAGCACTAGCCGAGGGATCGAAGATGAGAGACACTCTGGTGGACTCCAAGCGTCAGGCCCATGTCAAGGGTTTGGTAGCCTGTGTACCTTTCGCTTCTGAATAACTAGCCCTGTTCACAGCAAGGGTTTGTTTGGAGACTCGAGGAGATGAGAAAGATACCAGGTGTTCCAGAAGCATGGACAGATTGCTTATGGGGAGAACAGGGCCAGAGGTTCAGTCAGTTCTCAGGACTGCAAAGTGGACACGGAGATGAGATTATTTTTAGGGACATGAAATTTAAATAGCTGGAATTTCGCAGAAAGGGCTTGCGTAGAGAAATTGACATTGAGGGAAAGAAAGGAGGGGAAAGGCAGAAACACGGGGGAGGGAAAGAGAGAAGAAATGAAGAGGAAACAAACAGGCTTATCATCGCTGTAGAACAGGGCCAGTCCAGGTGTGTTGTTAACTAATTTGCTGTCTGTATGTGCATCTTTATGATGTGGGTCTTTGTCTCTACATTCTACCAGCTCAGAAAAACTGAAGCTCAGAGAAGCTAACTTCCTGAGAGATCTGATTTTTACCTAACTCCCACTCCTCACTCCCAGATGACTCTGTCTCTTTATTACCCTTCAGGACTTTAATAAGCAGAAGAAAAGCAAGGCTCATGGGCCTCGCTCTGCAAACGAGAGAGAGAGAGAGAGAGGACACCAGGAGTTGGGGAGATGCAGAGGTAGTGAGCACTTTGCGCTGAGCTGCGGTAAATGGAAGGAAGGAAAACTGCTGGGCTTGCTCTTCAGAGTCTCGGGTCCCCAGGAACAGAATTCCCAAGGAATGAATGATGAGCAAACACCACTGAGCCGGCGCTCCTGAAACCCTCCTTCTAAATCTAGGACATTTTGGAATTTCCTCAGTTCAAACTGCAGACTGCATTGAAGTGACGGCAGAGGTGCAGCAGCCTTAGAAGGAGGAGCGTTGGTTCCATGCAGGGCGCTGTTCAAACGTTCTGCAAGAGGCTGCGGCCTTTGCCCTTACAGAGCTTACCACTGAGATGAAGAGAGAAGACAGCAGCACACGGGCATTTAAACAACATATAAATTGAAATTCTTGGTATGATTCTCAAATGAAGAAATTGGCATGCACCTAGGTGGCCAAGTCCTCAAGTCTGTTGGATCAGCCATGAATGCTGAAGAGACCCAGGGGCTTGAAAAAGGAGATGGGGTTCTGAAATGCCCTTTAGCTGGGACGGACAACAGACTTTCTGAAAACCAACCTTGCATGTGTACAGTTGGTGACCCACAGGCACATATGTTAAGGGTTAGGAGATAGGACACCCAGAAACTTGACCTGTCATTTACATCATTGTCTTAGTCTGGGTTGCTGTAAAAAAAATACCATGGACCAGGTGGAAAACAAAAACAAGTATTTATCTCTCATGGTTCTGGGAAAACTAAGATCTAGTCTCTCACAGATTTGGTGTCTGGTTCCTTCTTGTGTATCTCACATGGTGGGAAGAGTGGAGAGCACCCAGGGCCTCTTCTATTCGGATGCCAATCCCCTTTATGAAGGCTGGCCTCATGATCTAATCATCTCCCAGCTCCTACAGGTATCCTCACACTTGGGGTTAGGTTTCAACGTATGAATGTTCAGACCACAGGAATCAGAGTCTGGCTTCGGCATCCGTTCAACTTTTCAATTCCCATTGCATCTTTCAAAACATTGCTTTTTTTTCTTTTCTATTTGGTTTTTGTTTGTTTGTTTTTGTTTTGTTTTTCAAGACAGGGTTTCTCTGAAGCTTTGCAGCCCATTCCGGAACTAGCGCTTGTAGACCAGGCTGGCCTCGAACTCACAGAGATCCGCCTGCCTCTGCCTCCCTAGTACTAGGATTAAAGGCGTGCGCCACCGCCGCCAGGCTCTTTTCTTCTCATTTTTTAAAAGAGTGGTTTTGTGCAATATAATTGAAGTCAGATTGATCCCATCAAACAGCCCTTCTCACCCTGTGATTTCAGGTGAGTTTCAGAGCCTTCACCTGTGAACTGGGTGCTAAATAGACAGCGGAAGCTCAAACTAAGGTTATATTTTCAGCCTAGAGTAAACATCTTTTAAAAACATGATGTTTGCAGCAAATTCTTCATAGAAGAGCCAGTATTCCTTTACACATTACAGCAAGGCAATGCATTTAATCACAAGTGAAAGGGCCCCGATTAGTCCTGGTTTTTATTTTTGTTTTATTCTTTCACAGGCTTTGCTGATCTAATTCTGACTCCCAAGGCCCTTGTATCCGCTGTTGCTTCCTTTCTTTGGGTTGACTGCCATTGGAACAAGACATGACGAAGACCATGGACCGCTCTGCAAACTAAACCAGTTGTTCCCCAGCTGTGACTGACAACCTCCAAAAGACTGTTGGAAACCACAGATGCTTACATCAGGATTCATAACAGTAGCCAAGCTGTGAAGTCGCAACAAAAATAATTCCATGGTTGGGGGTCATCACGTCATGAGGAACTGTGTTAAAGGGTCACAACATTAGGAAGGCGGACAGCCACTTCTCTAAAAGGAATGAAGGCAGATGAAATCTAGCCTGGATATACATATTTGCTGGCAGTTGGACCACCACAAAGGAGGGACCTTCTTCAAATTCTCAAGAGATGCTTATGTGGCTTGCCAGGGCCTGGCTTTAATCTCTTCTTCAACATGTCTGAAAGATGGGTATGCCATATTAAGTTGAGAAGGCTTTCAGTGGGGCAGCTCACAGCCTCCATGTTGTCGCAACTCAGTCTACTTTCTAATAAACATCACCTCTTGGAACCAAATCGCATGCATCTGACAGCCCTTTCAATATCTGGTAATAATTAACACAGCTCCCAGGGGTTCCCCCAAAAGACCATTCTTCTCAAACATACTTCAGTTTTCTTCAAGAATTCATTCTGTGGCATGCCTTCCTATTTACGTCAATGTCAGACACAGCTCTGCCCGTGACTGACCCTCAGCATGAAGGCTGATGCAGAACAGCTTTCTCTAAGAAGTCTGTGCATTCTAGGTCCTGGTCTATCACTGAAAGTTGGAATTTGTTTCCAGTAAGCCATTTATTCGGGGTTTTGTGAGTTTAACTTAACATCCAAAGTTGAA